TGGTCATAAAAGGCACCCCTAACAACGACTCAATCCAGCTTATATACGGAAAAAAGTGGGAGTGGGTTTTCTAAATATTTCAACAGATGTGATTTAAAACAAAGATCTAAGACATGAGCGATGATTGCATGGATAGATAATTTTTTATGTTTTGGTCTTTCGCGAAATTGGAATTCGCGACACCTGTATGAGAACAGTAGCATACGTAGTCAGATCAGTGGATGTTTACGATTGTATGGAGGCGGTACTGGTGAAAGGGTTCGAGGAGTTACAGATGATGGCGGTAGATGACCCATGACTCAGAACCATATAATAGAATAAATAGTACAATGGCTTTATAAACGCTGACTAATCTTAGTAGCACTTTTCTTCAGATGTTTATTGCACCAGAATTTTATGGGTACAGGCTTGTCCAGTGCATTCTATCATTTGCCGTTTCGTCCCTTGTCTGTCCCTACAGGACTTTAAAATTGAAACTTCTCAAATGTTTACTCGAAATGTAAAGATTTACAAGGTTATGTATGATATTTGAAATTTTAGAAATTTATTCATTCCATGTTTTGTTTGCTTACTTCTTCGTGTTACCCATTTATTTGTTAATTTTTCTTTGGATTGTTTGGTTGGAATAGATGAAAAAAATTTTATTTCACTTATGCTAAAATATCAATAAGTAAATCGATGAATGTTTGGAAAATGAAAAATATTACGAAAGTTGAAGTTTAAACGAAGAAAGAAAGTAGAAGCAATGTTCATTTACAAACATATTTACTATTTTTTCTTTCGGTTTTTTAATATTTTTAGATTAAATTACACAGTTATATGCCAACTTGACTCTGGTTTATAAGCTAATTCAAATTTCGTCCTTTTTTACGCTTGTTTAATCAGTATTATAAATTTTGCATAGCACAAAAGTGACAGTATGTAAGATATCAGTATCAATCTTTGATCCCTTAACAATTATCAATGTTAGAAAAACCGAAATAATTGTATCGTAGAACTATTCATTCAAATAGTTTGCGTTTACATTTGTTTTTTTTTTTCTCATGCTTAAGTCATGAGTCAATTGTTTAATCTTTAAATCGTCTAAAGGAGCTTTGTTCGATGTGGAGATTTGCGCGCATCTGGATGGCAATGAAGCTTATACACGCTGATGGGCATACTGTAGAGATATCTAATAAACATGTTTTTATCCGATGGTACATCTCTGCATTTCTGTTAAGCATCGCATTTCTTTCCTTTGTCTGGCCAAAATGCAAGCAAAGGATATTGTGATTGAAGCCACCTGTTTTTAATATAAATTAACATAGATATGTAGATTTCTCTGGAAGATATGAGAATACCGTCAATTTGTTGATTGTTTCCTTTTGCATATTCCTTATACAAACTATAAGAAATCCTAACACTCATTCATTGTTAAAAACCCATCAATCGACACTCAGTTTCGCACAACTCACTCTTTTATTATCTCCCAGTTCATTAAGTGCCACTTTCTAAGTTCTTCCATTATTGTACTGTCATTAATCTGGACTTCATTTTATTGAAATTGGAATTAGTTTGATCTCATTTCTGTCGTATTTGGTATCCGGACGATAATAAAGGATAAACTGCTATGCTTTTCGGACACATAACAGCACCGGTACTTTGTAAGTCATTTCTTTAAAACCTAGCTGTCTCTTCAACGACTAAAAACAATCTCCCTAACCTTCTTAATCCCGTTTATTTCCACGACAAATGTTACCATTATTATCGTCAATGGAAACGGCGAGAAAAAAAAAGGAGAAACATAACGAAGTTTCAATTTAAGATAATTTTAATATTCAATGTATTCTTACTCCTTTCCCTTTAGCCATATCTGATTACTTATTAGATTATTAGTTTTTTGTTACATCGTTTTCTTTTCTCCTTCACTTTATTCCTTCGAAAAATGTTTATTGTAGGTGATTTAATTCATGTTTTCTCTTTTATCAACGTTTTCATCTTTCCCTTTATAAAGCATTTTACATTTATACGTTTTACGTGATCAGGCCACGTGTACATACACTGGATGTGATACCTGGCACGATGCTATTAGACACGTGATGGTATGGTTCTTCGTTATATTCTCTCTTGAATGAAGTCGAAATGATGTTTTTGAATGGAAGTTTAAGGACGTTATTGCATTAATTAACTTCTGGTGGAACGGTATAATTTAAGACTTGAAAACTTTTTGCTAATTTCGATGAAGCTGGCGAAAAATCAGTGTAATTTAGAAAGGGTTTGGTTGAAGAAAACCATGATGAAATCCGAAAATAATGAAGATTAAAAGAAAAACAAATTCAAGTACATATGAAATAAATCATTGCTGCTGATGACTTGAAATAAATTGGTCATAGATATGACATTGTACCGGAATTTAAATATTTAAAAATTAGATATTTGAATTTGTTTTTCTAGGTCCAAATATTGTTCGCCAGCAGGCTTAAATCAATATCATTATAAATTGG